TCGCTCGATGAGATCGCGTCGCGAGGATCGCGATGCGAGAGGACAGGCGTGACCACCGCGGGTGGCGACGGGTGGCGGCGGCGGCGGCGGCGGCGGCGGCGGCGGCGGCGGCGGAGTTACACGGGGCGATACACAAGGAAAAAAAAAAGAAGTTGCCCGCCGGTGCGGAATGACGTCACGCCGCAAGGGCGTGTGCTCCGCTGACGTACACGCGTCTTAATCCTTTCTAGCACCGCGATGACGTGTAGCGCGATAAAGTTTACTTCGTTTTATTTTCTCCCCCTTCCACCTAGTCGCCCCGCGTCCTCCCTCGGGATCAATTTGGCGGCTGTGGCCTATCGGGCCTCGAGAATTAACGGAAATAAAATTTCCGCGATTAACATCGAGAGACAATGAGAGAGAGAGAGAGCGGGGCTGCATGTAAATGGGGCGACGTAACGAGTTTCCAATGAGAGCGTTAATACGTTATGATCCTTTCGCGATTGGCACCGTGTAAAATACATATATTCCTCGTCCTCTTATGATTTTATCACAATTGTCGATTTTACTTCGGAAATATCGTTAGCCTCTTTAATTTCTCTAATGGTGCCGATTAATTTTATTCGATATAATTTCATAATTTCATAATTCGACAGCAAATCGCTCTTATTAATCGTAATTGCCGTAGCTGAAAGACGTCGGGGAGAGTGAAGTCGAGAAAAAAAAAACATAATGAATCGATGTACTTACGTGGAAAGCGTTATCGTGCGATACAGAGAGTCGCGCGGATGACGGATTAAAAATTCACCTCCTCTGTCATCTTCTAGTTCCGACTTAATGCAGGACAATTTTCATAATTGGCACTTCCCATTTATTTCGCAGACAAGAATTATCTGAATCACGAATTAACAGTGGAGGTAGACTTGAAGAAATTCAACGTGCCAGCTGAATTCGGACTGAAGACGAGCACCGAATTGAAAGAATTCAAGTTCGATCACTCTGCCAACTTGTACTTACACTCGTCGAAGGACAAATCCCAGTATTCCTACAAAGTCTACGTTCATCCCAAGGAAAGCGGTGAGGAAACGCTTGGGCTATTAGTAACCTTTGTTGCAACTGAAGCGATAGATATCGTCGCGGTTGATGTTCTAACTTCAACATCGTATGCTGGCGGTGAAGAGTTAAGGATCGCCTGTTTCTTTTTTTTTCTACAGCTGCCATCCTGACTTTGCCCAATCGCGAAATGGCCGTTATTAGTACATTCGACTTGCCGAAGACAAAGCAAACCGGAGCATTCAAGGTCGACGTCTCCGTTTACCTGGACAGAAAGAACAAACCGTCCGACAAGACCGCCCTGATCGCCACCGGTGACGTTAATATCGAGAAGGACAGCGGATCTGTCAACGGAGAGGTCAAATTCATATATCCATCTCAGCCAAAGGTACGTCGTCGGGTGCATTTACGTAGTGAGATTTCTAAAATCTATACGTAAAAATTACAACGGATAACAGCCGAGATTTTTAAATATACATGTAGAAATTACATCGCATGGCGTTTGATGTTAAACGAAAAATTTAACTAAAAAAGCATTTCCAATTTGCTGCCAATTTCTGCGCGAATAAGGTAAAAGCTTTTATATAAAACTAGAGAGGAGAGAGAGAGGGGGGGAGGGGGAGAACGCACCTCGGCGAAACCTTTATTGTCGATTTTCTCGCAATCTAGCGAGAACGTCGAGTTTCATCGAGCTACTCGGCTATAAAAAGGGCAATATAATACGTTCTCTGTCGATTTACGTCTGCATGTTCGCCTTGTTTTTTTTTTATTTATTTGTACTGCATTCTCGCAATCTCAAGCCAATTGCCAGTTAAATAGTTTGTGATTTGGTTTACGAGTCACATCGAATGCATATTTTTGTCTGTCAGGATATGATGGTGAAAGGTAAACTTCACTACGGCGGCGAACACCTGCTGGACGCGAACGTGGATATCGATGTCTTCGGGAAGAAAACGCAGAAGATCAACGTGGTGGCGAAGCTAAACCGACAGAATATAGAGAAGGGTAACAATGTCACCAGCGTGATCGAAGTGACCAGTCGTGGGCAACAACTCAAAGTTGAACTGAAATCGCACGTGGCGATCTCGGAGCTCCATGTCGGTTTCGGCAGTATGCTATCGTACACGGACGTGAATCAGAAGCCGCGGTCCGTGGGCGTTCTGTACTCCTCGAGTCCCAAGGGAGGATATCTTCTTGTAACTGCGCTTAATAAAGAACTCCTTAAGTTCGACGAAAAGATTCAAGTAGAGAAAAACCTGCTGAAGGTTGACGGGGAACTCACGATTCTGGATAACAAACCTATCATAATGAACTTCGAAGCGCGTGATTGGAACAGCTTCGCTTATACGGAATACGTACAAGGTAAAATTTATTCCGGACTCTAAGCATTTTATTCGGGGATATATTTTTATATGTTATATATAGAGGAAAGTCACCTATTGTGAGATAAGCTCCTAATATGAGATAGCAGGGTTTCTGCTAAATTAATAAGCATCATCTGTTGGTCTCATCGTGCATTTATTGTCCTTGGAATAAAATCTGTTTAGTGAAAAATTTACTGTTAGATCGTGTAATCGTTGTAAAAAAGATTTGCAATTAAATTTGGATGTTGAAAACCACCAGTTAAGCCTATCCCATAATAGAAGCCTTTCCTCTACATATATTTTTTCTTTTCTTGCTCAAATGACGTATCGTTATATTATATACAGATAACGTTATTGCGCAATTATTATTAGATTTGTTTGTAATCGTGTAAAATAGCTATAAGTTATTTGCCGTACTTTAAGTTATAAGTTTATGCGAATTGATCTTCCGGTATTTTTCCTCAGATAAGCCCAACACGAAGCTCGTCGTCAACGGACGCGTTGTGCTCGGACAACTAGCCGAAATTCATGCCGACGCTTTCAAGGAGGGAGAGAAGAAGCATCTGTTCCACGGTTTGATCCACCTTGATGAAGAGAAATTCCTAAAACCTGACTTCGGCTACAATAAGGACAACGTTGTCCACGTAATGGTAAGTACATTTCGTGTTGTGGCAGCTGTAACATATATTGCTTCACTCACTCTATTGGTATAATTTAGGAACATTATCGAAGCCGCGAGACCGAGCTGTTGAAACAGCTAAAGGACGTCTCTAACGAAATAGTCAACGAAGCAGAACGAGAATTTAAGGATCTCGCAGAACACTTGAAGAAGGCCCAACCGAATCTTAAGCCGCTCGCGGACTATTATGAGGCCGAGCTAAACAAGCTGAAGAACGAACTCCACGCTGACCAGACCATGAAAGACGTGCAGGCTACCTTGTAAGAACTTAATTACATTATATTCAGCATTCGTATAGTTTTATAGAAATTTTTGAAAGGCAATAATACATGAAGACATTTGTGGCACATATATATATATATATATATATATATATATATATATATATATGAAAGTCCCCTATTATGAGATAGACTCCTAATGTGAGATAACGAAGTTTCTGCTAAATTAATAGGCATCATCTGTTGGTCCCATCATAAATGTATTGCCATTGGGGTGAAATCTGTTTAGTGGAAAATTGATCCTATCTCATAATAGAGGACTTTCCTCTAATAATTACATTTATGATATATATACATATCTAAATATCCTTATAAGTTGAAATTTAAGTCAGTCGTGAATCTCATCGAATTATCGCGCCCGCAATATCGATCGTGTATTCTTTCAGGCACAAGTACTTCGGAGCTGTTATCACAGCCGTAGCGGAGAGCATGAAACAAATAACCGCGCGATTAAATGAACTGCAGAAAGAATACCGTGAATTAACCGGCAAGCTCGAAGAGACATGGAAGTCGGTATATCCTCAGCTAAAAGAATCCTACAATAAGATAGCTCATGCATACATCGATATCGTCGATACCATTTCCGCTACTTTGATGGCCTACCTCAAGACATTACTCGCCGTGATTAACGAGCATCAGAAGGAGCTGAAGGAATTGGCGGTCGTGGCTTCGGAGCTCGCTCAGGACGTTGCTAAGATCGTGTTCAAGGCCATCGGTCAGATCAAGAAGGACGTCGAGGAATTCATCGTCTTGCTGAAAAATCAAATGAAAGCGTTACCGATCTTCGAAATCGCGAAGGAGCAGTACCAGGAGCTCGTGAACCTTCAAATTCCGGAAACCGTCTTGTCCTCCATTCATGAACTCAGCGAGGTCATAAAGGCCATGCTACCCACCGAGGAGCTTCGACAGCTCTTCAGCGCTACTTATGAATACATCATGAAGCACGTCAAACGCGAGAAAGTAAGTTTCTCTACCAGTCTTACATCACATTTTGCCATTTCACATACTATCCTTCGAACGCTCCGAAATTATTGAAGTAGCAAAGGTCTTGAAATAATAAAATGTCATCGTCTCGCGCAGGTCGACGATACCAACGAGATCAAGAAGATCTATGATTATGCGATCGATGCTATCGCGTCCCTCGTCAAGCTTCTGGAATCCACCGACACCTTGGACCACATAATAGACGACTTGTTCAATGCTAATCTTCCCATCGAGTATGATACGTTAACGAAACTGCCATTGATCACCTCGTTCAAACTGTCTCTCATCAATCGGATGAACAATAACGAGTTACCGACGCTGAAGGAGGCGTACTACACCTACAGGTCTCTTCTTTTCTACCTCGTCTTACTCTCGTTTCATTATGTATCGTTTTTCCGTGAATTGCGATTTTACGTTATCAAAATTAAGGTGTTAATCATCTTTTGTGCTTTAAACAGGCCAACTCGGCTGTTCTCCGACATGATAGCTCCCTTCAGCAAATTCGGTGTCGTCGTTGACGGAGGACATATCTTCACCTTCGACGACAATCATCTCAGTATGCCGGGCGATTGCACCTACATCCTGGCCCAAGACATGCAGGACGGCAATTTCTCCGTCGTGGCCAACTTCAACAAAGGAAATCTCGTTAGCGTGACCGTTACGGAGCCTAAAGAGAGCATCACGTTGAAGAACAATGGCAACGTAAGTTTATTTCTCTTATCTCTTAACCAATTTCCTATAGCGGCGGCAAGTTACGTCGGTGGATATGTGACATGAATCGAGAACGGGGTAAATGGGTTGGAGAGAGGGAAACGAGAAAGGGAGAAAGGGCGGGTGGGGTGAAACCACCAGAAAGCTCTCATACGGTATTCCGTGTACGTGTCTTATAATGCAATCCCGTATTGAACTGTAACTCTGCAAGTTTGCCAGGGGGCTCCAAACTTCGCTGACAAGTCAAACCCTATTATCCTCGCGTCGCTTCTCTTATAGACGAACCGAGGGCGAGGAAGGAATAAAAATCACCCGTTGCTCGTCTTCCGGGCGGGCTCCGTCGCCAATCTCAGGCGTTCGCCTCTCGCAATTTCCGCACGCATTTTTCGCGCTCTTCTTAAGAAACCTTGCCTTCGTGCTGCCGGAATTTTTGCATACGACTACACGTTTCCCTTTTTTTTTCCAGATCCTGGTGAACAACAAACGGGCCGAGTTCCCAGCCAGTACGAAGAATTTGCACGCGTTCCTCTACGCGAGTCTCATAATGAACGTAAAGTCTGACTACGGTGTACACGTCGAATGTGTTACCAATCCGTCTATGGTTTGCGCGGTCTACGTAAACGGCTTTTATCACGGAAAATTACGCGGTCTTATGGGTGATGGCAACAACGAGTATTACGACGACTACACGTTGCCGTCTGGAAAGGTGAGTGTAACTTGTTTTGCTGTTGAATAAGTAGCGCAGAATATCAGAGGCGCGAAAGGTCGGTTATACTGTCGCGCATTGTTTCTCGAAAGGGATTTTGCCTCAAACGATAACTTCACAAATTATTTTTTAATTACGGCCGATTAAAGAAAAGCAGCTACTTTGCATAACGCGGAATAATTTAGGTGAAAAGATATTCTCTTCCCCTTGTTCAATTAATTCTATTATGAGAAAAGTCGGAATTGATAGCTTAAGTACGCTGGAAGCGAAATGAAAAATGTACACACGTTATAAATATTTAATATAATCTGCTTCCTGCTCTCGGGAGCTCGTCCCTCATTTTCTCAGCGTCGCGCTTCTATTCATAAGGCCCTGCGGTAATATCGCCAGACTATAAATCATGTTCTTTGTATATTTTTATTCAAAAGTTTTCGCTTCGATCAATAGACAAATGTCTACGTGGAGCGTGGCATTCTTTTCCGAAGGGATCACGAATTCCCAGGGGGATCAGAATTCTCTCGTTGCGAAATAGATATCCAAGTCCGTAGTTTGTGTGCGCGAAACTGGGACAGTCGACGTTTCCATACCTGCGTTTCTTAAGTGAAAAGATGAAGCACGTCATATTTCACTATGCAAACTTTCATTTTCCGCCTGGCAAGAATAAAATTGAATATTCCGAAAGTAAAAACAAATACGATACAAGTGTTTCGCGACGAGAGGATCTTACGGTTGTAAAACGGTAAGAGATTTGCAGTGCTTGCGGTGATCTTTAAAAGCGCCTTTCTCGCAATTGAAACAGATTACCGAGAGCGAGACTGAATTCGCTAACGGATACAAACTGAAGCCCGATTGCCCGGCTGTGAACGCGATCGATCACAAGACGAAGCAACGTAATTCAGTCTGCACTGACTACTTCTCCGGGCAGAAGTCTTCGTTGAAGTAAGTACATTCGCCATTTAAAAAGATACGATTAAACCAAACTGTCGGATTACATCGAGGAAACGTGATGCCGCAAACTTGGGATGGGAAGCTGAATTTCTTCAATTTGCAACTGCGTCCTGTAGTTTTTCACGTGTTTGAGAGTTAAGTAGCGATTTATGAAACGACGATAAGATTAAGTAGACGTATCGCGTTCCAGAAAGTAAGCTAGTTCACGAGATACCATCCGCATCTCGAAGTACTCGCGACAAACGCATCCCGTGCATTACACATTCGAGACGGTATTTCGCAAATGCTCGAAACAATGTAATCGTCATAACCGTTTTATCGTCAACCTGGCAACTCTAGAGGCAACTTGGAAATGACATTTCTCTGTGATGTTTTAGAAACTGCTTCAGCTACGTTAATCCGATTCATTACCGAGATGCCTGCGACGTTGCGGCTAACGGAAATCCGCAAGCTCCTTGTGCGCTCGCAATCGCTTATTACGCAGCTTGCTATAATAAGCGTGTTTACGGAATAAACATTCCATCCGCTTGCAGTAAGTTAAATTGTTGACTCGTACTACTTTACAAAGCACAAAGTCTGAATATGATGTTAATACAGTATTAATGCGAGGGAAAGCAAAACCTCTCATTGGAGATAAACTTACTTAAGACGCACA